CATGCTAAATTATTCTCTACCTCTGTCCTCCCAGTTTTCGTGTTAAATTTCCCCTCTGAGTTGTCTTTGGGATTTGGGCATGTCCCACTAATCAGGGACAAGTTTACCCTCAGTTTGAGAGACGCAGGGATGGGTCTCCACAGCCCTCTGTAATGCTGACAGTGGCTGGCTTTCTCCCAGTGGCATTAGTAATTTTGACTTAGACCAGGGAATCCTATTGAGATTTATTATGAACCAGTTTTGTTTTGTTTTGTTTTTTTCTGAAGGGACAGGGAAAAGAGTATTTAAAAACAAAATGAATTTTTCAACTATAGTATATATTTTTGTCCATTGCCTTCGTGAACACTGGTTATATCTAAAACATAACTTAGGCAAAACATAGTTTAAGAAAAACTTGAACATATGCAGTAGTTGAAAAACAGTGAAAACACATAACTCCATCTAGATTTTAAAGTTTTTTTTACCATATTTGCAAGTGTGGTACTCTGACTTAGAGGTAGTTGGCATATTTAGGGAACCAAAAGTACCTCAGTGTGGCTTGACCCCTTAGAGGCTAGAGGGCTGTGTGAGCTGGAGATGGGTAAAGCCATGGTAGACAGTTTGGATTTTACCAAAAAGGCAATGAAAAGTTATTGAAGGGCCTTACTCAGGGAACTCTTGCTGTTACTGTTCCCTGGAATTCTCTCAAATCCTTATGGTAAAGGAAGAAAGGGGGAAGTGAGAGCCAGGCAGGTGAGGGACATCTTATAACCATCTTGAAGTGAAGTGAAGTAAATGTCGCTCGGTTGTGTCTGACTCTTTGTGACCTCATGGCCTATACAGTCCAGGAATTCTCCAGGCCAGAATACTGAAGTGGGTAGCCATTCCCTGCTCCAGGGGATCTTCCCAACCTAGGGATCGAATCCGGGTCTCCTGCATTGCAGGCAGATTCTTTACCAGCTGAGCCACAAGGGAAGCCCTTTAACCCTTCATTGCTACTGCAATACTTCCAGCTTGGGCATCTCCGTACTCTTGGAGACATGTTGCCTGGGTGTTTCACATCCTTCACGGACACAGAAGCCTGTGAATAGTTCGGCTTGATGGTATACCAGGCCCCTTTGAAAACGCCGTCTCCATTCCTGGGAGGAAGCAGAGTGGGCTGGAGAGTTGATTCTCAGTGCTGCATTTGCTATCATTTGGGCATTGTTGGAAGGTCATGAGTTGTTCTGTGCAGGGATTAACCTCTGTTGCTTCTAAGGACTGGGCTTCCCTGGTGGCTTAGATGGTAAAGAATCTCCCTGCAGTGTGGGAGACCTGGGTTCAATCCCTGGGTTGGAAAGATCCACTGGCGAAGGAACTGACAATCCACTCCAGTATTTCTGCCTTGAGAATCCTGTGGGCAGAGGAGCCTGGAGGGCTAAAGTCCACAGGGTTGCAGAGTCAGACATGACTGAGCGAACAGCACATACACATACACCACAGACACACAAGCAAACCAAAGCCTCGTGCTCAACTCAGACTCAGTTTGTATTTGGTTCCAAGTCTTCAGGTGGATTTCAGTTCGTTCTTTATTGTGAAAATGAATTAAAGTGATCCATGAAATCTAGTTTAGTCATCTGTATTTCTTTTAGCTGTGTGTGTGCACGCACATGTGTGTACTATTAAATGTTTTAGAAACATTAGTTTTTTACATACAGATCATGGTCGAAGTTCGCTGGTTCTGTTGGTTCTTTCTGACCTGGTGAATTAGTAAGATTAGTAAATTGGCAGCCTTATTTTCTGTCATTCAGCCTTCCATGGAAGTGTTCTATTAATAGTACTTTTTATGTATTAAAGATAGTTTTATATATCCATTGATTTCTTTAAATTTAGTTTTATGTTTACCAGACTTATACATGTCAAATTGAAGGAGGCAGATAGTTATAGAAAGGGTTTGTAAGAAAAATAACAATCCCCCACACTTTTCCTGATCTCTAGAGGTACAGCCTCTTTTGATAAAATTGTTTTGGAATCTTTCTCCACATCTTTAATGAACATATTAATACTTACATGACACATCCATGATTTCACCATGTTACTTACAACACCTCAATAGCTGCTTTTGTTTTCTTTACTCATCATAAAGTCAGTAACACAATAAATACTACTTAGTAACTCTATGCATGTTAAGCTAACATGTTTATTAAGAATTTTTATTTCTCAAAGTATTTCTCTTAGCCTTTTAGCAATGTTCTAGGCACATGTATTGTCTGCCTGCTCAGTCATGACTTAGAAGCCATTCACGAATTTTAAATTTCTCTACATTTTCAACTAATTGTTTAAAAAGTTGGATCACAAGTGACATACAGTAGTATAAGGATAATTAAGCTTAATACAAAGCAAATTTAGCCTTAAGAAATAAATTCTAATGCAGAAGTTTTAAGGGGTACTATTCCCTTGTTTTTGATCCCCCAAATCTTGGTTGTTATTAAATAAGAATTGGTGAATTTAAGGGTGTAAATGAAAGAAAAGAATTTTTATTATTGCATTTAGGCTTTAAAATAAGAACTGTGTAACTCTTGTTACTGACTGTATTCCTCTAAGTATGGTTTATTAGTTTATATGTTCAGCAGAATCTTAGCTGTCTGGTGTATTAATTAAGAGAAATGATTGTGGCATGCTTCCCCTTTGCCTCACAAAAGCAATTTGTATATGTGTTCTCTTCGGCAACTGTGTTTTTTCTTCTGTGACCAGTATTTCATGTGTAGTAGTTGGAAAGTCACTTCTTCCACCACTGAGCCAGAGCTGAAAATAATCTCTGGTGCATAGCACCCTAATATTTCCTGCAAAATAACCATTAAACATTCCCAGCCTTTACCCAGCACAGACTTGTTTTATCGCTGCTATTATTTGTGGAATACAAATAGGAAGATTATATATTCATAGGATTTATTGTGAGTGTGAATTCACTGTTCATAGAGAAGCAGTCTGCATTGCCCTCTGCTGCTGCTGCTAAGTCACTTCAGTCATGTCCAACTCTGTGCGACCCCATAGATGGCAGCCCACCAGGCTCCCCCATCCCTGGGATTCTCCAGGCAAGAATACTGGAGTGGGTTGCCATTTCCTTCTCCAATGCATGAAAGTGAAAAGTGAAAGCGAAGTTGCTCAGTTGGCGTCCGACTCTTAGTGATCCTGTGGACTGCAGCCCACCAGGCTCCCCCGTCCATGGGGTTTTCCAGGCAAGAGTGCCGGAGTGGGTTGCCATTGCCTTCTCCGCATTGCCCTCTACCCTTCTTCAAAATAAATAAAAGAAAAAAGTAATGGAAAGGAATGATCCAGAATTTGGGTCCCATCTTGCCAGGTAATCAAAGAGAAAATGTAACAGCCACCTGGGAGTAACTCACCTGTAGTTGATCCAAACTTCTTGTTGTAGAAAAGATATTTAGAAGTAAATTTATGCATCTTTGAATTTTGAGAACCTGTGGTTTAGGGCATTTCCCTTTGATTAATGAAGATGTTTTAATGTGATCAAAAGAAGATTGACAAGCTGACAGAGGTGAACTATGTAGGTGATTGATTCTGGTACAGAGATTGATAAAAACAGATCATATCAAACGATGTCAAGAAATAACATACATGTTCATTATTTGTTGGCTTCTTGTTGGAATTCATTTACATGTTCTTTCCCCCTAAGTGTTTATTTGTAAACAGACATGCAGCTCTCTATATCTCAAACTTAGAGAAGAAACATTCCAACACTTTCTTCCAGTGAAGTCTTAGGTGAAGGTCAAAGGAAGTGTTATGATGCTGTGCGGCAGAGAGATTTTATGTTGATGGGAAAAAATAGAGTAGGGTTGGGATGCCTGAGACCCACCTCTACCCAGGCAGTGGGTGCCAGGGGCAGTTAACTATAGGAGTATGGAACTCCCAGGTTGAAAGTCACTGATCTAAGTGATCTTTAAGGTTCTTCTCAAAAGTGTTAATCTTTTGGTATCTTATATGAGGTTGTTTAGTGAGGGTGGGTGTAACTTCCTTTAGTTTATTTAGTGAGAGAAATTGTAACTTCTGTTCCCAAGTAACTTCCATCGTTTATCTTGTTTATTCATGTTGACTTCTTTGATTAGTTGATAGCCCCCTTTTGCCTGATATAATTGAAACGTCTTCTGCTTCCCACAAAAAATTAAGAACTTCCAGAAGTTCATTGTCCCCAGAATTTATCGAGTGAGTTCCTTCATAGAGAATAGCCATATCCAGGCAGAAAAAGTACACCTTGAAACCATCACTTAAAGAATTTGCAAATCTGATGGGGAGATGTGCCCAAGGCACTCTCCAAGGTTCCCTCCAACCCTGAGCCCTCAGGCCTGACTGAGGAGGAGGAGGGGTGTGCCTGTGGGATGCTTAGCAGCAAGCAGCATGAACCTGGAAAAAGCGCATCTGTGGAGACCTAGAGGGTGGGCCTGTTGCCAGTGTTTTTTGGCTAAGCCCCTTACTAACTTTTTACCTCAGTTTCCTCAACTGTAAGATAGAGGTGTCTGTTAATTGGGGGTATAGTGTGGTGATGAAGGACACTTTGGATCAACCTGAGCCTGAGCTAGTTTTGCCCTTTAGTACCTTGAGCCAGTTTCTTTAAGTCACTCAGCTTTACCTGTAAATGGAAGTAATATAATGTCCTTGGAGAATTGTTTGAAAAGATCCCATAGATGATGGATTCTGTTGCTTAGTAGGGGCCCTGGCAGCACTAGCACACCACCAGCATCAGCACCATCATGTGCCTCTTCAGATGGGGGTTAGGAGAGCAGGGGATTAAAAAGGTGTTTTGAAAAGTACAGAGTGTTCTAGAATTCTACAGTCATTTCTCACATATTTGGATTTCCTAGGACTGATTTTGAAACTGCTGTGAAATAGCTTGCTCAAGCCCTGGTTCTTCCCAGACTAGGATTTGGAGAGAGGTCTTCCGCCCCTGCCGTTTCCTCACTGGCACGTTGTGCTGTGTCCGCAGGTAGAGCAGGCGGAGCGCAGTGAAGGCGCCTGTCGCTGCCGCCATGCCGTTCCCGTTCGGGAAGTCTCACAAGTCCCCTGCAGACATCGTGAAGAACCTGAAGGAGAGCATGGCTGTGCTGGAGAAGCAAGACATTTCCGACAAAAAGGCGGAAAAGGTATGTTTGGCTTTATTTTGTATTTTTCATCTTTGGATTAGGAGTGAATGTAAGACAAATTATGAGGTGATTTCTAAAAAGCAATAAATTCAGTTTGCGTTTAGGGTTTTTAAAATATAGTCCAACTAAGTAGTGCTTGCTGGTGCTGTTTAAATTCCACATGTTTTCCTCTGTTCTGCCATCTAACACATATCTAACTTTTTTCTCAAGTTTTTCATTTGAGGTTTCCAATTTTATTTAACTTTTGAGGTTTTTGTTGTTGATGTGGTTTATCTGATTTCTGAAATCAATGTTTCCACCAGTAGTCTGCCATGGGAGTTACCTCTCCTGATTATGTGTTTCGTGTATCCCCAACAAGTATCTTCTACCCAGTCATCACAGTCCAAAATGTGACTTTCATCCCAGTTTGTATGCCCCCACCACCCCACCAAGAAGCATCAATTTTTAAGAAATAGCATGAACTTCTACTGCTTCCTGAGAGGTTTAGGAATTGATCCCAACTTTCATTCCTACTTGACAAAAATTCTCAAGACCTTATGGACTGTAGCAGTAGCCTCCTTAGGGCTTTTTCTGAAATATCTCCCCTCCTTTAACCCTTCAGTTCAGCCTTCTCGCATAGTACGTGAGACCCTTTGTGACCTGGCCTGTACAGCTCTTGGTGAATTTTAACCCCTTTCTTCCTTATTCTGTGTGTTCTACCAGTCTCAGCTTCTTTCTGTTTATGGAAAGCAGTTAATAGCAAATAGTCAGCTCTACTGTCTTTGTCATGTTTCACTGCCCCCGCACCAGTTTCCCTTAGCCCTCATGCATTTGCCAGAACTAACCTCTTCATCTGGTTTTCCCAAATGGCTTTCCAGAATACTCCCTCTCCTGACCTTATTCTTACCTCCTAAAACAAATATCCACCATTTGGCCACCTCCTTTGGAAATAGCCAGACTGCTGCTTTCTTCAGCATGGTTTTATTTGTGTCATGTTTTTGTCTTCCTTACAAGATTTTGAGCTCTTTGACCCATGTGTCATTTCTGGCCCACCTTTGCCCTCCATGGTACCTGTCTCCCCATGGGCTGAACACCTGATGATTCATTGGATGAGTGTCTTGAGTGGAACATTTTCCATCCTATCTTTTATTTTAGGAAGTTGTTTTCTGTTTTGAGTTGACAGATAAATTGCATCATTTCTACCATCTTTCTGAGATTCTGTGGTTTACCTGTATTCTTATAAAGAAAATATCACAGTCATGGGATTAAGATTTGTAATTATAGGCTATTTAGTCATTATAGGCTATCCTGTCATTGGAAGCAGCGTACAATTAGTGAAGTTTGGTATCATTCAGCTTTTCTTTAGATTTTCCATAGAAAGTCTGTAGACAATTTCTTGTATACTTTAGTAAAATATGTAGATAACTATTAATAATATGATAAACTTTTTTAAAGATGGCTATTATGTTATTTTGGTTGAAGTATATAAAGAAAATCTGGCCTCATACAGATGCATAATTGGGAAAGAGGAGTATTTTAATAGCCTTTCAGATTTTTGAAGTTTCTGATACGACATCAGTATTCACCAGTTGATAGTTTCTTGGTTGTAATAGACTCAGAGTGTATAAATGAACTTCTCATACTCTCTACTTTGAAGAGGCCCTTTATCCATACATAACTTTGTTACAGGCATTGGTCATTTAGAAAGCATTGGATCATTGACTTATATCTTCCAAATGTTTACACATTATTCAGTATCAAAAATTCACACTTTAAAATTACACTACTGTTACATCAGAAAAGTAAAACTTTTCGAAAGTGGTCAAACCTCCTTATGTTGTATTCAAATTTCAAAATTGGCAGCAATACTATTTGTTGGTTGTTTTTCTTAAGGTGACAGGTTCACTTTGTTTATTTTTGAAAAAATACCTGCCAAGGATACAAGCCTGAATAATTTTTCAGTTTTTCTTTCAAGGAAAAGTGATGTTCTTTGAAGAAAACTGCTCGTTCAGCTAATAGCCCAAGCATTATCATACAACTACTTTTCTTCAAGACAAGCAGCCATACTTCTGGAAGGGGCAGGAGGTGCTTCGTGTGTACTTCCCGTTCAGTTCAGTTCAGTTGCTCAGTCATGTCTGACTCCTTGCGACCCCATGAACTGCAGCATGCCAGGCTTCCCTGTCCCTCACCAACTCCTGGAGCCTACCCAAACTCATGTCCATTGAGTCGGTGATGCCATCCAATCATCTCATCCTCTGTCATCCCCTTCTCCTCCTGCCCTCAATCCCTGCCAGCATCAGGGTCTTTTCAAATGAGTCATCTCTTCACATCAGGTGGCCAAGTATTGGAGTTTCGGCTTGATCATCAGTCCTTCATATGAACACCCAGGACTGATCTCCTTTAGGATGGACTGGTTGGATCTCCTTGCAGTCCAAGGGACTCTCAAGAGTCTTCTCCAATACCAGAGTTCAGAAGCGTCAATTCTTCGGCGCTCAGCTTTCTTTATAGTCCAACTCTCACATCCATACATGACTACTGGAAAAACCACAGCTTTGACTAGATGGACCTTTGTTGGTAAAATAATGTCTCAGTGTTTTAATATGCTGTCTAGGTTGGTCATAACTTTCCTTCCAAGGAGTAAGAGTCTTTTAATTTCATGGCTGCAGTCACCATCTGCAGTGATTATGGAGCCCAAAGTCAGCCACTCTTCCACTGTTTCCCCATCTATTTGCCGTGAAGTGATGGAACCGGATGCCATGATCTTAGTTTTCTGAATGTTGAGCTTTAAGCCAATTACATCAAATGTTCCCACTTGCGCATACTCAGAGGTCAAAATTTAATGAATTATTTTTCTGCTTCCTCATGCTACTCTTAAGTGAAACAGTTTTTTAAACTGAGTGCGTGAGGATGAAAAAACTACATTGATAGCTGTCGTAACTCGGGCAAGAGGTCAGCACCATCAATGCAAATGGCAGCAGTGGAAAAAGGCAAATTATGTATTTACACTGATATGAAAACAGTTTTGACCTCATTGACCCCTTGGAAGGGTCTCAGGGAACCTTTTTCAGTAACACAGAGGTTGAGAATTCCTGCTCTAAGCCTAAGCAAGAATAGACCTTTTGCTATTAGGATAAACAAAGCAAAGAGAATTAGTTGAACTTTTGAAAAATAAGTTTTGTTTCAAAGAAAGGGGACAACTCTGAAGACCAGTTGATACAAATTACTTATTCTGGAATAGATTAGGAATAGAGAGGAAGACCCTGAACTTTGTGATTTCACTTTCTTGTCAAGATTCAAGAGACAATGCTACAAGTGCTGTCTCCTCAATCTTGACAAGAAAGGGAACTGAGACCTGAAAACAATGGAAAGATAAAATATTACCACTAAATTAAACACCCTGAAACATTTTTCGTACTTAAAACTGAAAACTTGAAGGTTAGGATGCTTTGTATGATTTGTTATCTAGCATTGTACTGAAAATTCTAGGCAATGCATAAAGAAATGGCTTAGAAATTAAAGATACATTTATTTCAAATAAAGAAGGGAAATTACAGTGTTGACATATTTGTATATCTTTACAAAACACAGGGGAATCAATGTGAAAATGAGAGTTCACTAGGGCACCTAAATGCAAAATTCAGAGCTTCCCTAAGTATTAGTCAAAATGATCTAGAAATTATAATTTTTTAAAAAGTATTTTATTTGTAGTAACAACAAATAAATAGGGGATCTGGGAATACTTTTATCAAGAGGTGTGCAGAACCTGTCCATGTCATTGGACAGAATATAATTAAGATATCTTATCAAATCGATTTTTAAGCTTAAAGCAGTTCCATTCAGATCACAGCAGGATCTTTTTGTACCTTGACAAAAAAATGATTATGAAGTTCTAGAAGAATAAATAGCTGTAAAGTTGTGCTGGAATTTAAGGAATATGAATTCTCCTTTGTTTTGAAGCAAAGCACACATTTCATACATCCACTCTCAGTCTTCCCTATCATGGTTAATGAGACACCATTCTTCTAGTTGTTCAGGCCAAAAGACTTGAGTCATCCATGACTCCTTTCATACTTCCCAAATCCAGTTCATGAGCAAATTCATCCACTTTATTGCAGCAGGGAGTGTTAAAAAGCCAGAATCTAATGATCTCTACACCCCATTTTTCTGGTTCCCACTCCTGTCTAAGCTATTGTTATCTTTGCTCTGCATTGCTGCAGTGTTCTTCTAACTGATCCCCCACAACCATAATGATTCTTTCAAAACATGCGTCAAATAATATTTCCCTTAGAGTAAAAGTAAAAATCCTTACACTAGCAGAACTAAATTCTACAGGTCAAATCCTGCCTAGGCCTGTTTTTGTAAGGCTCATGAGATAAGAATGATTTTTATATTTCTAAAGGATTGATTTTAAAATCAAAGAAGAATATGCAGCAGAGACTTTATGTGGCTTGTAAAGCTTAAAATATTTCCTGTTTGGTGTTTTTACCTAAAAATTAATGCCCATCCTTGCTCTGGTCAGTCAGGCCCATCCCTTCTCCTAGTACTCCCCCCAAAGTTGGCTTGCTTTTTCTCATGCGTTCCAGTCCACCCCTGCCTCGAGGCTTGTGCATTGGGCTGTTCCCTCTGCCTGGAATGTTCTTCCCCCAACTCTCTGCTTGGTTTGCCCCCTTGTTGCCTTCAAGCCTTTGCTCAAATATTGCTTTCACCTAACCCCCTAGTTAAAATGCAGCCTAGTCCCCAGCATTCCTGTTTACCCAATCTTGCCGTTTTCTGTATATCACTTAGCATCTTTAATATACTTAATGATTTTTTAAAATTAGTTCTTCTGTCTCCTAGAACATAAACCTTCCAAAGACAGCTCCATAATTATTTTTTATTTATTGAAAATGGAATTCAGAGTTAACATGAAACACTGTCAGCTTGTATCTCTTCTAAACTCTTAGTGTCTACTGAATAGGATAAAACATGTATTACTGAGGATGTTGTAATAATTTGTATGTTGAGTTTATGACCAATAAGAG